GATCACGTAAGATGACGTCAGTTCGTATGAACTGACGTCACCTTACGACAACGCCAACATTAGTGCCGTCCGGAACCATTGACCTTAGAAACGCGCCTCTTCGCTTGAAGAGCTGATATGCGTTGATTGTTATTTGTTTCTTTTGCCTACTACAGACCATTCAAAAACTCGCCTTCTGGGTGCCACCAACTTCGTCTACTGGGCTGTAAAGCGCGTTCGAGCGTGCGCAATACCTCTCTAGGCCGAAAGATTGTACACTGAGTATGCGTTCACAGCTCAATGACTTAGGCATTTTTCGTCAGGATAGATGCTCCCACGAGAAGAGCGTAATGGATATGTGAATAGAATTGGAAATTTGAAATGTTCTTGTCCAATCGCATTTTTCTTTGGTTATCAACGCTTTTTAGCGTAATCACAAGACGTTCAACCCATAATACACTGGTGATTAAAAAATAAGCACCGAAAAACATGCACCGATTTTCGCTCAAAAATAAACACCGGAAAAAACATACCGTAATCATTACCCATGTCACCTTTTTGGGTGATATGTGAATTTCCAGAAGAACAGCGACTTATCACCCTCCCCTAGGAATACCCTGACTACAGAGCAGGCGACCCGTTTTTCCCCGCGTTAGATTGCGGTGACCACGAACCGTACGGAGGTCACAGGACGTCCGTGAAAAATAAAAAGGAGGCGAACAACGATCTACTCTGTGCACGCTTCATCCCCGATTTCCACGACCCCAAGGCCGAAGGACGTTTGTGTGAAGGATAACGATAAAATAAAACTTTGCGTAAAAAAAAAGCCCGTTTTTAAAAGAAAAAAAAAGTAGAAACAAGCACAACGCGTTGACGGACCGCGAGGTTGTGGAACACCTCGCGGTCCGCTTGCCACAGGACGGTTGTCTTCGACCCATAGCTCCAAGGTGAATTTGCCACTTGCGAAAACACGGAGACCTACCCAGCGAGAACCAGGAAGGCAAGACACGCACACTGACGCCTCGGCGTGCGTGCAGAATGAAACAGGATACGGGCGCGGAATACGGCCGCGGAAGAACACCTCGCACAGTGCCGATCCGGCCGATCTCCGAACGGACGATTTCGCATTTCGTGGACAGCGAGCGCCACCGCACGGGAGAGAGAGGTACCTTAAAATCGACGAAAACAAGCATCGACACCTTGGTTCTTTATATTTGCTGTAGTTACGGAACAAATCGACTTACATGAATAATTTGAATATTATTCGATTCCGTAATAAATTTAGAAGACACTAAGCGCAATACCTCTTATGTTTGAATTTATATAATTTTGTAAATTCGCTCCGAACGCAAGAGTGCCGAATTAGCCAATTTTGACCATTTTCATGATTTTTTAAAGAATATAATTAAATTTATGATGAAACATTTGTTGCGCTTAGTGTCTCGATAATGACTCAATGTCTTTAAAGCCGAAATTTTCAAGAAGATCCGCGCAGCTTTTATTATGTGAGAATTTGTTTAATTTGGTGAAAAACCTCATGTATTCTCTATGGGGCTCTGAGGTGCGCCCCCTCTTAAGTCTGGTAACAATGTATTTTTGCCGAATCTTTAGAAAAGTTCGGCTTTGCCGAATCCCAAGATTCAGCGCCGAACTTTCGATTCGGCAAAAGTTCGGCCCATCACTACTGTTAACATAATCGGCGTGTTTAGTGGTTTTATTTATTGCTCTATCAAAAATAAATATTATAATATACTGTTCATTCTTGGTACCGTGTTATTTGCAACGTTGCGGCCCCTCTCTCCGAAACTGCCGGTTCGAAGCCCTCGTCACGAACGGCTGGCCAACGCGCTTAAAAAGCTTCGAGCATTTCTTTATTTGTTCTGTAAATACGTGAAAGCAAGTATGCGTATTCTGTCTTTTGAAGGTGCTTGTAATGGCCTTAAACGCGAACCCATTCCTGATGTGTTTTGCTCGACATACCGTTACGCGACGTGTTTTCTCCTACTTAGGGCCAAGAATAGACTTTTTATAGACCGTACGCTAGAGCTCTACATTATTAGCGGGAGCGTTTGCTGTTTAGTTGAGCACAGATTGAGCTGGCGGCCATGCACAAACTAGAAATCCGCAGAGTATGCGATATACGAAAAGTCCCTAATGAAGTTAGACATCCGCGGTCCTTCGTACAACGCTGTTGCAAGGCGGACCACAGTAATTCCTATTTTAAAGCGCTCACTTTTTTTGTTAAAACGACTTCACGCATCAAAGCCGACAGTCCCTGCCACCGTTTCCGTGCCGCTGCCGTCCCCGCTCCTCTGGTTCTCTGTTCGTCCGCAAGAGGGCGAGGGGCGGGCTGGAGTTGCAAATAGTTTAATTATGATAGCAATTTATTAGATGGACATAACTAAGGGCTAGTGTGAAGTAGACTTCTCTTATTGACATATACGCAAAAAACCCGCCCGAAAATTGGAACGTTTCTTCTCAGTCTGAAAAACAACAACTTTTATTTCCTGGCATGTCTGATGAGGCTGGGCTTCACGGACCCCTAGAATGCCTTCGCGGACCCCAAAGGGTCCACAGACCCCCATTTGAGAACCACTGCTCTAGACCAATGTCATCACTTAACAGCATAAGGGGATGTCCAAATTGTAAGGTTGTGCAGTATATATAGCATTCTCACGATGATATGCCGCAGCCTAATAAATGTTAGAGTGCGCATGACTGACAAAGTACAGAGTTGTAAAATGAGGCCCCAAAACAAGTGCACGTCAATCTGAATATAACTTTAGCCTCCCGAGACAGTATTCTGTGAAGTTTCGAGCCCGTGCAATCCAATATCTAAATGTGATTTAAATGTTTAATATGTTGTCTGTTCTTTGCGCTATTTATGTGTAATTAGGAGCATCATCTCTATTAGAGAAATACGGACCATAACCAACCAAGTCCTGAGCAGTTAGGACTCCGACGTTTCGAAACCGATTCAACTTCTTCATCAGGGGCGACTCTGCACGTGGAGAGCAGCAGCTTTTTTTTTCACCTACGATGTGTCGTTTGCTTCACTCACTTTTTCTTCAAGTGCCCTAGTTTGTTGACATACGCCGATGGTTAAGTGCCTCTCGACCTATTGAGCCCGACCTATTGAAACGTCGGGTTCAATAGGTCGAGTACTGTCAGTACTGTGATGCAAAGTTGTACCAATCACCGGTACTTTAGGCAACCTCTCTGACTGATAATCTTTAGATTCAGGTAAAATATATGCGACTGAGGTAAAAAAAATAGATGTTGAGTCATATATGTTAATCTAGGTTCTTTTACTGTTTCATAGAAATTAAATAACGCAATTTATATTTGGTACGTGAAAATAAAAGTCAATTCTGTGAATGAAAAAAGCTATACAGTTACACGTTTCACTATTGAAAGTGTCTATTGTCAAAGGAACGCAAAAAATATATTCTATATTTAGCAGTTCAAATTGGTTTGAACCGTTATTTTTGCTCCCCGGAACTGAGCCGGAGCTAAACCCTGAACCGCAACCTAACCGATAAAAATTTCGGTTCGACACTGGTCACGGGCAGTGGCTGGCTAGCAGACCACGGGATTCATTTTCGCTTAGCGATCAAAGAAATGTTTGGCTGCTTGGTGTTATTCGTTGTAGTCTATGCTGAAAGAACATGTGCAGAAGGATATTAAACGCTTCGATGTCGCGCTTTTGATGCTGTTTTATTGGTCAGCCCCATGGGCTTATTCTGTCAGCTGCGCTTTGACCTAAAGGGACCATGAAATGACCTTTTTACTTTTGCCGAATAACTTTTACATTAAACCGTCAATGTTCACTGAACGTCGAGCGGGCATCCATTTTCGTTTCGTTTTATTAACTTCTACACGAGAAATCATTGAAATATTGAGTTTTTCTTCCTCTCCAACTCGCCGCAAACTAGCCGTGGCGTAATTTTGACGGTCGTGACGTGCTCCGTCACCGGAACCGGAAGTTCTCTTGGCAGTAGGAGAATGGGAGTGCAGCAAAGAGCGGGCTGTGTGCCGGTAGGTTTTACCACAGGGTTTTACGGCTCTGATGGCGCCAATGCCACCGACACATTTTCTGAATCTGCACCTCTCATCACCGAGAGTCGTGGACACATTGCAGCTGAGCGAAATTCAATTAGATATGCTGTGCTACAGCAACAGTACAGTGGCTACAAGGAGAAGTGTGACGAGCCCCGTCGCCGCAGACGCTTTGATCGCCTTTCGATGCCGAAGTTGAGCTCGGTTTTAAACTATTCAGCCCCCGTGCTGGATGTGTCTACTCATGCTTAGGAAGCAAAGCAGTTGTTTCGTGCCCGGGTGCACGACCGGTTACAAATCGTGCAAGAAGGAACTTTCTCTTTTTGGTGTGCCCAAGGATGAAAGCACGTTCGCTCAATGGCAGCGCGCGAAGAAGTATCTGAAGCTTCGGCATGTTACATACACATTTCTACTGTGACTCAAGATAACATTTCGACTTCCATTCACTTGTCACAATTGTCACAATTCACTTCCATTCACTTCCATTCACCTGACAACTACAGTGTGTCACAAGAGAAAATTTACACGGTCATTTTGACCGCAAAAATAAACCAGGCATCGTCGAACGCTCATTGTCCGCCCAAAAGTAGAGCTAGAGGTCACAACCAGATGCCAAAGTTTCAGCCCGATCCGATAACTTAATAAAAAGTTTTGAAAATTTCAATGGGAAAATGGAGCCCATTTTTGCCCGTTTTCGTTTTCTGGTGCCATAGAGCCCCATGTGTTTGAAAACTCCGTCGGCCGCCATTTTCCCATTGAAATTTTCAGAAAATCACATAACTTTTGATCAAGTCATCGGATCGGGCTGAAACTTTGGCATCTGGTTGTGACCTCTAGCTCTACTTTTGGGCGGGGAATGAGCGTTCGGCGATGCCTCGTTTATTTATGCGGGGAAAAAGACCGTGTAAATTTTCTTTTGTGACACCCTGTAGAATAAAAACGAAACACCATAATTATAGTTAATGCAGCCCCAGGTTAAAGTTAAAAAAAAAACAGGGGCAGACGCAACGCCGTTTGAAAATTCATCGGACACTATCACTACAAGGGCATATTTTTTCACGTGCTCACGCTCTACTCATAAGGTAAGGCAAAGAATAGTGGTCAGTGACTCTATTTATTAAACATAGCACTGGGTGGCAAAATATTTGCAAATTTTACGTAGTCGAACACATTTCCCTATGTTCAGAGCCGTCGATATGTGCCCGCAATTCGTGATATTTCACTAATTCCTTTTCTTCAAAATTAGAAAATGATAGTTCCGACATTCAGTCTTAGTTAACTACGTAAAAACACTCCATATCTATTATATGATGAGACATACGGAGGCGTAATCAAATAAAAACGCAGCCTTACCAATGCTGCCTCTGCGCGCCGCTAACGTGTATAAGTGCCGCAGCGCCATCTACTTTTTCCCTGGCGAAGTGCCACGCCTGAGCCGGCACGCTCACCACACTTCTCCTTCTAGCCCAAAGAGGTTAGAAGTACTAGGAGGGGGCACGTCAAAAGTTTAAGCGATTTTGTGTCCAGCGTGACCGCAGATCTGTCTGGCGATTGGTGCGCGTGACATGTCACGTGCGAGATGGATGGTTGATTGTAGGAAGATTTCTTGCAGGCTTGCGCGCGCTCCGTCCGGTAGGTTTTATCAGATCGAAGGCTAGGCTGTGGTGTATTCTAGTACACCATAGCTAGACGAAGGCTAGCTACGGTCACGTAATGTGGTGAGAGTAAGGAGGAAAATGCGAAAGAGGCGAGGCGTCAAGGGAGCATGGCTTGTGGAGGCTACGCGGCTGACGTCATGCCCTCTCCTACCCTTCTATTCTCCATGTTGTAGCCACTGTAGCAATAGCATGGGACTGGTCCAGGGTGTAAGATAGGCAGGTGGGGAAACGGCCCATTGAAGCCTACCGCAGCGCCGTGACCGGATTGTGTACTTGTCTGCTTGCGGGTACCCCCTATTTGCGACAGATGGCGCTGCGGCGAAAGGAAAAAAAAATTGGAATCGGATTTGCATGGAACTCTATGGGAAAGTGTGCAAAATAAACCGAGAGCACGACAGTCCTTCATTGAAAATCCACGAGAAATCATATCCGTTAGTTTAGTTGGTCACCACCGGTCGCCTACCCGGACTGAGAGTTCCCGGTGCTCCACATAGATGGCGCCACAGAAAAAGAGAAAACCGAGGGGGACACAATCCGGTCGCTCATTAGGCTCTCGTTTCCCCACCTGTCTATCTTACACCCTGGACTGGTCCCATATGCCGGTACGGAGCGCTTCAGGTTGTCAGCACTACAGTCGCTTCTCCGCCCTCACCAGTTCCCATGGTATCTCTAAAAAAGAAGGGGACGCGCTGGACCTCACTGGTGTAGCACAAAATGCACAGTTTTCTATGGGCTCAAGCTTTATTAACTTTTATTTTGTCAGGATAGGCTTGCAGGGTAGGGTGGATGAAAAAAAGACAAGAAAACGATGCAGTACGTTGTCTTGGACGATCACGACTTTAATGATAGTACAAATCTAGCCACACGCCTTTTCTATAATTGCAGAAGACAGTGTAACCTTAGCAGAGATATAGCAACATGGAAATATGATTTCATGATCGCATAGACGTTGCGATCGTTCAAAAAATGCTAACATTAATTACTTTTTTTAGGTGACGAAAACTTGTCAAAATTCACATCCTTCATATATGTCTTTAAATGCAGTATGCACCAGTAATATCCTGGACTGGATCACAAGCATGGAATACGCAAAATAAGAAATCCGGGCGATGTTCGAGGACACAGATGCTAAGGAAGCACCACTGAGTCGAAGTAAGCAAAGACAACGGAACGAGCGTTTCTGCTGTCTTGAAGGTGCCGCCACAACACAACCCCACGAGTAGATGAATCTTCCCTTCTAGGACGTGCTGGGTTATCATCGCGACACACGACCAGAATTCAGTCAAGGATAGCTATGCAAAACGATGGCCTTCCACCACGTCGATTATCACCTCCAACGCCACGTTTTTCAGCAGCTGGGCAACTATGCACTGGCACAGTCTGACATTTCTCTTGCTTCGTTTACCACACGATAGATGGCACATAGCTCCGAGCATTATAATATTTGGCAATTTCCGTCACATCGCTAATTATTCAAGAAAATGTGGATTAGAATAATCTGTCACAAAACTTTTAAGAAAGATTCGCCGGCAATTTATTGTTTATGATCACGGTGCTGGTGAGGTAGGCTCTGATCCAATAGGCGATGTGGATTTGGCTGACGTGCCGTGGCACCACTGATGCATCGCAGTGAAAAGGCAGGGAGCTTTTGTAGGAAAGAAGGTGTAAGAAAGCCCGCCTTTCTTGTAAAACTTCTATAGCGAAAAAGTTTTTTGAGCCCTTCATTTTTGTGTTTTCGTTTCTTTTCACACCTTTTACGACATGCAGTGCATAAAATTCGATTTCAAAATCGTTTCCTGGTCCCAGGCAGCACACATTGCTCATAACTGCACTGGCCTCATCATAGTCTGAATTTCCAGACGATGTCGGCAATATCAGGACCTAAAAGTCACGAAAAAAATTGGCAAAATAGTGGGATGTATCTTGTATCCCAATGGTCTCACTGGATTATCGTGTCTGCCGTGGCTACACTGCACCGCGACACTCGTGCTGCTCGCGCCAACCTTTGGATGGATGGATGCGGTCAAACTCTTTTAATCGGGTGGCGGCTTGCGCCATCTAGCCAAAGCCTTCACTTCCTCTCCCCCAGTGCATGGTGGTGAAAGGCAATGAAGTGGCTGATTTCGGGGACAGACTGGGTTAGAGCAGTAGGGTGGGAAATTATGCTGTCTACTATTCAAGTTGAGCCCCTTCGGTCTTGATTGTAGGTTGACTTCTAATTTTAAAAGGCTCTGCGGAGGAAGAGGAACAAACATGGCGGTCTTGTTTGAATAAATATGGTAGTCAACCTGGTTCCCATGCAGCTGCCTACCTAAAGACCAGCGAACTTGACTGCACTTTGTTCGGTGGCTCGGGAGCAAAGCACCGGCCTACGGATCTCCAAGTGGCGGGTGTGAATGACTGAGGCATATGGGCACATGGCGGAGAAGGTGCCGTGTCACTGAACTTTCAGTTGCACGTCAAAAGATCCCCAGGTGGTAGAAATTGATCCTCAGCCCTCCACTGGTCCGTGCCAGATGCCCTTCGTTGGTTTGGATTGTAAAAACCCCAAAAATTTGATGCTGACTACACTCTGGTTCCAACGCCACGAACTAGCAGTGTCACGAGTGTAGGTCCCATGGTATTGGGGTGGTTGTTTTTGAAGTTTATGATGTTAAAGGCGCATTTTTATTTATACACATTTTGACAAATTTGCCACTTTTTGCAGGCATAAGAATAGATATTTACAGGCTAAATAAATTATCAAGTGCAAAGGGGGTGGGAGGCTTTATCTCAACTGAAGTGTTGCAATTTGATTAATTTTTCGACCGTTTTATTTCATACCCATTGTATATGGAACCTACCCTCACCAGAGGCTGATTTCTAAAAAGCAGGCTCTCTGTTCCCTTTGGGTCCTATGTATTCTTATTACAAAATGTAATAAGTGATATGCTTCGGTATAAAAGAGGAACCCTCAATCATTATCAAAGATGAACTTGAACAGTGATGCCATCACTTTTTTTATTTTCAAGTGATATGCAAACAGGTGTTGGCACCAAGCATCTGCTCCAAAAGCATCACTAGCTCCTCCGAGCCAATATTCTGCCCACTACAAAACCTGCTATAGAGGATCAAATATGGCTTCTATCACTGTCTTTAATGTGACAGGTTGTGCCCACTGCTTGAGTTAATGTTGTGTATTCAAGTTCTCGCGCCCCGGTCCTCACCGAGGAGTCGCGTATATTGAGGTTCCCCTACGTTGCACCAGATTGAACCACGCGTCCGGAGTGCACCGAACCGGGCGAGTGTCAGGTTTCGTTTTCGAGTGCCTCGCGCGCCTGCGGACTCTGCGCCCCCGCGAGACCGCGCGCGTCCCCACCGAGCGTTGGAGCGACCCTCCACAATGTAATCAATGTAATCCCGGCCAGCCACACGGGCTGGATATATACTCTAATAAAGTTGCGTTCTTACGTATCAAGGACCCAACAACTGGCGACGAGGCAAGTGATCCCCGGACTCGCCTTCCACGTATGTACAGCGTCAGAGCGTACTACGTCCCGTTTTGCGCGTGAAGCCCTGCGCTGCGCTCCGAAACCAGAACTCTTGGGCGTGGCCGCCCTCCATTGTGTTCACCCTCCTTGGACCCGACATGTCTTCCCCGGACGAAGATACCCCGACTGTTGTGATAGCTCCTTCGGCCCCATACCTCGCCCTGGCTGAATTTTCGCCGGATCAGCCAGCCGCTTGGCCCGTGTACCGGGAACGGCTTGAATTTTACTTTCAAGCTCAGAACATCGCAACCGATGACAAGCGGAAAGCCATCCTCTGTAGTGCCTGCGGAGTGGACACCTACACACTCCTTCGCTCCCTGTGTGCCCCCAAGACGCCGATGCAGACACCATACGCTGACATCGTGGCTAAACTGGATACCCACTTCGTCAGCAAGCCCTCTGTCACCTTGGAACGCTTTCGATTCAACAAACGGGATCAGCTCCGAGGAGAGACAGTGCCGGCCTACCTCGCTGCACTTCGGCATCTCGCTCGTCATTGCGAGTTTGAGGACTGGCTTGATCGTCCACTGTGCGACCGAATGGTATGCGGCTTGCGCGACGAGACCCTTCAGCGCCGACTGTTGGCTGAACCAGAGCTCACACTGACCAAGGCTGTTCAGATGGCTCGGGCTGCTGAGGAAGCAGCCGTTAAGACAGAAGAACTTCGTCGCACCAGGTCAGAAGCTCGCCAAGAGCAAAACCGAGTGGCACAGGCGCCACGGAAGCCCCCCAGTGGTAGCGCTTCCACCAACGATCAATCTTCTCATGTCCAGTGCTGGAGATGCACGGGCTCACACGACGCCGTAAACTGTTCCTACGCCAGTGTCGTATGCCACTTCTGCGGCAACAAAGGACACCTGCAGAAGGCCTGCCGTAAAAAAGCGGCAAAAGGACAAAAGAAACCGGGCAAGGCTTCTGAGCGATCACCTGATTCCGAACGGCGGCCCAGAGGTCGTAATCACCAGCTGACAGAAGCAGCCGATCCCCCATATCAGGATGTCTACCACGTGACGCCGTCCGTTTGCCACACGGGTCAACCTGTGGAGGAGGTTCCGGTTCTGCGGTCACTGTCAACAGTCAGCTCCGTCACCCCGCTGTATTCGCAGACGTTGTGATCAACGGACATGCTTTATCCATGGAGGTGGACTCAAGCTCCGCCTGCACCGTGATCAGCTCAGAGACTTTCCGAGTTCTGGACCTCACGACCACTAATCTTCAACCCTCTCCACTTCAGCTACAATCCTACACCCACGAGCGGCTCGACATGATGGGTACACTGCAGGTTGACGTCACTTACAAGACCCGAGAGGCACGCCTTCCTCTTCTGGTGGTGAAAGGAACCGGCACCAGTCTGCTCGGTCGAGACTGGTTTCCTGCGTTGGGAATCGGCCTCAGTGGCGTGAAGCAACTCTCTGAAGAACGAACCCTTCGGCAGCAACCAGTCAGCGTTGTGGTAGCCGAATTTCCTGAAGTCTTCAAGGAGGGACTGGGAAAAAGCAAAGGACTACCTGTTCGCATCGAGGTCGCCCCTGCGGCTACACCCCGGTTCCTCAAAGCGCGCCAGGTACCTGTTGCTCTACGTCCTCGCGTAGAAGCCGCCATCGACATTCTCGTCGAGCAAGGCGTATACCAGCCAGTGCGTAATTCACGCTGGTCAACCCCGGTCGTCCCAGTCGTGAAGAAAAACGGCAAGATTCGCCTGTGTGGCGACTACAAGTGCACCGTCAACCCTGTGCTCCAATGGGAGACATACCCCTTACCTACCACAGAGCAGCTCTTCGCCAACCTCGCAGGTTGCAAGGTGTTCTCGCGCCTTGACCTAGATCAAGCATACCAGCAGCTGACTGTGGACGACGAGACCGCCGACTTGCTAACGGTCAACACGCATCGCGGACTGTTTCGAGTCACCCGCCTTCCATTCGGTGTCGCCACAGCCGTTGCCATCTTTCAGCGATATATGGAGGAACTGCTGGCCGGACTCCCAATGGTGCACGTCTACCTGGACGACATCATCGTCGGAGGCCGAACGGAAGTAGAGCACCACCGCAACCTCCGAGCGGTTTTGAACAGAATCCAGGAAGATGGAGTGCGCTTGAGCAAAGACAAGTGCGCCTTCGGAGTGCAAGTCGTCTTCTTGGGCTATCGCATCGACAGCCAAGGCATTTACCCGACTGAAGAAAAGGTCAAGGCTCTGAAGGAAGCTCCAGCACCCAAGGACAAGCAGCAGCTTCAGTCCTTCCTCGGGTTGTTGAACTTTTACAACCGTTTCCTACGCGGAGCAGCGCACACGCTCGAACCCCTGCATCGTCTCCTCGGCAAAGACTCGCCATGGAGATGGGGACCGGATGAAGACCAGGCGTTTATCAACGCAAAAAAGCTTCTGGAATCGTCAGCGGTGTTGAGACACTACGACGTCCACAAGCCCCTCGTTCTCGCATGTGACGCATCGCCATACGGGCTCGGTTTTGTGCTGAGTCATGAAAATCAGCCTGGCCTGGAAGCTCCAATCGCCTACGGATCCAGGACGATGACTCCGACTGAGCGGAACTACTCCCAAACAGACCGAGAGGCGTTGGCCGTAGTGTCAGGAGTCAAGAAGTTTCACCAGTACCTGTATGGGAGACACTTCAAGATCTACACAGATCAAAAACCCTTGGTTGGGCTCCTGCACCACAGCAAACCCATCCCAGCGGTTCTATCGCCACGCCTGCTCCGATGGAATCTGCTCCTGGGACAGTACGACTACGAGCTGGTCTACCGTCCAGGTCGACAGATGGGCAATGCTGACTCCTTCAGTCGGTTGCCTCTGCCGACAAAGGACTTCCAGCCTCCACCCCTGGAGGACGTTCTCCTGCTGGAGGCTGCTCCAGAGAGGCCAGTCGACGCAGAGCGGATTGCTCGACTAACGAAACAGGATCCGAAGCTGTCCCGCGTCCTCCGATGGATCAAGCATGGATGGCCTGACGAGAAGCCATCAGAAGAGTTCCAACCGTACTATGTGCGCCACGACGAACTCTCCGCATACCGCGACTGCATTCTTTGGGGCAGCCGCGTAGTTGTGCCACCTAGCCTCCGCCCCGAGATCCTAAAGATTCTCCACTCTGCACATCCCGGCATGGTGCGCATGAAGGGGCTCGCCAGAGGCTACGTCTGGTGGCCAGGCCTAGACAAGGGAATCGAAGAGCAGGTCCGCACCTGCGCGACTTGCCAAGTCACAAGGGACTCGCCTCCACAAGCTCCAGTGCATCCCTGAGAATGCAGCTCCAGGCCATGGTCCCGACTGCACGTGGACTTTGCGGGCCCCTTCCAGGGAAAGACCTTCTTTTTGGTCGTGGACTCGTATTCTAAGTGGTTAGAAGTACGAATTACGAAGTCCACGTCAGCAGCGACTGTCGTCCGCGAACTAAGAAGGATGTTCGCCACCCACGGACTGCCCGATGTGGTTGTCTCGGACAACGGCCCTGCCTTTGCGTCAGAGGAGTTCCGCACGTTCCTCGCCCGCAACAACATTCGACAAGCATTGGTGTCTCCCTACCATCCATCTTCGAATGGTCAAGCGGAAAGGTTCGTCCAAGACACCAAGAAAGCGCTGAGACGCTTGAGAGGCGCTGACATCGATGTGTGCCTCACACGCTTCCTGTTTGAGCAGCATATCCTGCCAAGCACATCGACAGGAAGAAGCCCGGCAGAGTTGATGATGTCGCGCCAACTCAGGTCGGCTTTGGACGGCGTCCACCCAGACCATCAGCGCTACGTCGAGCAGCGCCAGGAAAAGCACGCACAGAGCAGCAGAACAATTAGAGAATTCTGCCCCGGCGACAGGGTGTTCGCTCGCAACTTTGCGTTGGGACGTCCACGCTGGGTTCCCGCCGTCGTCTACTCTCGCAGTGGACCGGTATCATATCAGGTGAAGCTGCAAGACGGCACGTCTTGGAAACGGCATGTTGACCACATTCGCCAACGAACGTCGGACATGCCGGACATTCCTGATACGCGTGATCGCGCTCCGGATTCTGGTGGCGCGGACCTTGATCCACAAGAGACTCGTGACGACGCCGTGTCAGCTGCAAGGCGCAGCATGCCGGGAACGTCTAGGACCGAATCTGTGGAAACACCTGCCGAAGCCAGACTGACCCCGGCCGCTGCTCCTGGGTCACCCTCGCCCGCTGCTGCGCGATCCACAGATTCATCTGAGAGCAACAGCACCTCACCGATCGCACTTCGCCGATCAAGTCGGACAACGCGCCATCCCGCCCATTTGAAAGAATTCGTCTAGGGGGGAGGGGTGTTGTGTATTCAAGTTCTCGCGCCCCGGTCCTCACCGAGGAGTCGCGTATATTGAGGTTCCCCTACGTTGCACCAGATGGAACTACGCGTCCGGAGAGCACCGAACCGGCCCGTGTCAGGTTTCGTTTTCGCGTGCCTCGCGCGCCTGCGGACTCTGCGCCCCCGCGAGACCGCGCGCGTCCCCGCCGAGCGTTGGAGCGACCCTCCACAATGTAATCAATGTAATCCCGGCCAGCCACACGGGCTGGATATATACTCTAATAAAGTTGCGTTCTTACTTATCAAGGACCCAACAGTTAAGAATTTAGTGAGGTGAGAGAGAGCAACAGTAAACAACAATAATGATGACACCTGAAGTAGGCCTGGTTGTTACCTACAGGTCTGATGTCAACAGCATTTGCACTGTGTTTCTACTTTTCTTCATCTATGATGTAAAAACTGAACCAAGCGTGTACATTTCTGGCATATACATTGTGTGATGGCACACATTTTTCGGCATACTTCATATATTTTTCCATCCTTTCCAGGTTGCCTGCTGGAATGCACCTAAAGGCTGCAGCTTCATCGGCACTGCAGCCAGCCTCTTGGACCACTACAAGGAGTGCGGCTTCAGCATCGTGCCTTGCTGCCTGTGCCGCTCTTTAGTATTGCAGTGCGACATTTTGGAGCACTTCAAGAGTGGATGCAGCATTCGCGAAGCAATGTGTGAGCCTCCAGACAATCTTGCCACAGAAGACCTCAAGGACGTCGGCAGTGCTTGTCTTGAGATGAAGAGAGCCACGGGAAAGATATCCGAGGACCTCATGTTGCTGCAGACCAGCCTGAACCGGTGCAGCAATGACGTCAGGGCTGAGGGTGCAAGATGCAAGGGCCAATTGGAGGCTGAGGCTCAACAGCTCAACAGCCTTAACGTGGTCTGCACCACCGGTTTTGCCAAAGAACTGCAAGTTCTCCAGCCAGCAATGACCGACTACAAATACGATGTGAGCAAGGAGCTCCGTTTGCTAAGCTGTTGTAAGCCTGTGAGGGTCCACTGGTACATTGCGGGGTGGGCAGACCTAAAGAAGAAAGCACTTGAGGTGGCGTTGCGGTCGTTAAATAGTCTCACCACATGGGCCATTTACGGTTATAGTGTCTCCCTAGTTTTTAAACTTTATATAAAGGAAAGTAACGGCTGGATTGTCTGCTTCATGCGGATACACCCCGGGGAACAGGACCTGCAGCTGGAATGGCCCTTTCGCAAGGTTTACAGGGCTGGTGTCATTCACCCCAAAGACCAATCAAATGAGATTTCACGCATGGTAAATCCTGGTAACGGTGAAGATGAATGCCAGCAATGCTTCCTGAGGCCCAAAGAAAAACCAAATGTTGCATGTGGAGCAGACCTGGCAACAGCCGAGAAGCTTGAAACGGGTGGGTTTATACAAAACAATACACTCCACATGTTCTTAGAGGTAGAGCCCTAATCTCTCCATATTTGCCATACCCTAATTAGGATTAAGCAGGTACTGAGTAGTGAACAGCCCTTAGGCTTGCTTAAATCTGTTTGTTTTTTTGTATTTTATTTTGGTTTTAGTTTTGATTGCAGACTAATCAGCTTTTGGACTTCGTAGCTAATTTAGAATGCAAACAGTCAGGAGCGATATTTTAGTTATGCTTGCGTAAATGTTGTTTCTTTTGATGGGAACTTAATTTTTTATAAATTCAGCTTTTTCTTTATGGTGTTGTCATGCCTATTTTTTGTTTTCAGACACATTTTTATATGAGGTAGCTAAACCTGTCCACACAACGGCACAGACCTTGCTTTTGCGAGATAGTTCTTTGTATTCGTGAGAAAAATCGCATTGGAGAGAAGATAGAAAAAACCATTGTCCCAACTGCACGACGGCGCAAATCTGAAGGCTGGAGAAATAAAGAATGCAGCTTTCTACACAATCAAACTTTTTAAGTTTAATGCCCGCATACTTTACTGTCAGAATTAGTAAAAGTAAACTTATATGAGCATATATTTCAAGCGAAATAAAATGCCGAACTTGGCTTCTGGAGCAAACCTTACGTAATAAGGCATTTTTCGGCGAATTTTTAAGTCCCTTCAAATTAATATTCTAAAGCTGAAACTTTTTGTGTCAAGTGTTTAATGCTTTGTAAATTTTCAGCAAATTAATTAGCGTTTTACTGTTGAAAGTGTTTTCTGCATTGCGCCCGAAAATGTCATCCAAATAGAAAAAGTCAAAATTTTGCGATTTTCGTGCGGCAATTAAAAAAAATCATTCTCGATTTCATTTAAATTCTACCCGATGGGCCCTTGATGACCGGTAATTACAAATCTGCAAAATCATGTTGCATTATTTCGTTTTAAAACAAGGAAATAAATGTGTAACCAGGTCGTGGTCGCATCAATCTCAGCTGGGGCGTTTCTGTCCTAAAGCGCGAAACACGTGTACGACGAAACCTTCCGATCCGACGTGCGGACTGCCGGAATGACCTTGGGGGGCGAGGGTTTTTCGTAGCATCGGAGAGCGTTGAAAACCCTCGCCTCCGACCGTCGCATTGCCTGGTCGGACGTCAAATCGGACGGTTTCGTCGTACATGTGTTTCGCGCTTAACGACTAGTGGTAGACAAGCGACACATGCCGCAGTAACCGTGCTTGGTCACATTAATGCCCAGGCGCCACGAAGCACTCTAAAAATAGCACGTGAACGTTGCGGCGCGTTTGTTCCATGCCAGGGTGTTATACTTGGCTGGTTAAATATCGATTGTGCTACCATTTCAGGTTAGCACTCTACCATTAGTACCTGGCTGACAACATGATTTGATTTGTATTTCTGGGCATCGCTCGAAAGCTTGCTGACAAAATAGTTTTATTCATTTTTCTAGTCATCGCTTGGAACAAGCGACATTGCGAAAGTTTCTGCTTCGACCGATGGCGGGCGTGTCTAGGGCGTTCCGCCCTAGACACGTCCGCACATCTCGAGAAAGACAATGGGGAATGAGTGGAATTCAAGGTTGAGTTAAAGGGATGCTGAACCGAAATCTGGACCCCACAAAATACGTGGCAAAAGCGTGCAACGGGATGCTACAAACACCAAAACATCACTCATACAGCAATATCTCGAACGGATGACCGTATTTTTCAAGGAAAGGAGGTGCATTTGACAGAAATGTTCACGTCGTGTTTCTCCGAGAATGAGAGGGAACGGCCTCGCGTCTTCTCCGCCTCGCAGCCTTGAGGGTGCGAAGCGAACAGGGGAGGAAACTAGGTATCTTCACGTCGCGCGCCTCGTCGGCCTGGTTCAATCTCGACCTCTTTTTCCCAAAATACGGCCGTCCATTCCAAATATCGCCTTACCAGTAGTGTTGTAGGGATTGTAGCGTCCCGCCAACGTCTCCTACATTTTTTTTTTTCTGAAATACGAATTTCGGTTCACCATCCCTTTAAAGGGGATTTACATAGCGTACACGGTTCAGCGCCGAAGGCAACAGCCAAGTGTACGCTCGGGCGATACTCAAGTCGCTCCAACAGGATCTCTTGCCACGCCTCAACCGCAAACAGAAAAGCCATGATCTGTGACTGGGTCAAGGGGCGCAAGAGAGTTTTCGATCTGGGGAAATATTTTTATGAAATTCCAAGAAGGTCAAAGAGTGCAAAAAGCTGCAGATGTTTATTTGCAATGAGAACGCTCTTTGTGTGAATTAGCGCGCGTGTGTATGAAGCAAGGAGGTTAGAAGTACTAGGAGGGGGCACGTTGCAATATTGGTGAAGCCTAGTCATAAAAGGTTTAAACGATGTTGTGCCCAGCGTGACTGCAGATCTCTCCGGCGATTGGTGAGCGTGACATGTCACGTGTGAGATGGATGGTTGATTGTAGAAGGGCTCCTTGCAGGCTTGCGCGCGCTCCGTCCGGTAGGTTTTATCAGATCGAAGGCTAGACTGTGGTGTATTCTAGTAGCCTATAGCAAGACGAAGGCTAGCCACAGTCACGTGATGTGGTCACGTTGGCATGGTAAGTGAGGAGGGTAAGGAGAAGAATGAGAAAGAGGCGAGGCGTCAAGGGAGCATGGCTTGTGGAGGCTACGCGGCCGACGTCATGCCCTCTCCTACCCTTCTATTCTCCATGGTATGAAGGCACTCTAGTGTGTAGCAGCCAGCGTCGCCACCTAATGCCAAGCCGTCAACGCGCGCAGTGGTTCACTATAAACAGAAAATAAAGAAAGAACTGCTGATCAGTCGACCGGCCTGCACCGCGGTGAGGCGCCAATGAAGGGGACGTAACACAAGTTTTAATATAACGGGAGTTTAATTAAAACAATGATTTAGATAGAAACAAAAGTAATATAATGGAGTTCAGAAGAATCGAAACGTGGCAATAAAGTCTTAGCACTTTACCCTGCCGGTGTGCGGGCGTCAAAATTTCAGCTACCGTCCGAGCGCGGCCAAAGGCTGAGGGACGGTTCGCAACATCGAAAAGGGCATTCCTACGCACCACAGAATAGTCCGCAAAAGTAATTTCTTTTTTTTAAATAACTGTTTCATGCTACACATTGCACAATATTCCAGGTGTGTACTGCTGAGAATGATTTGCAATTAAAGATCTGAAGTTTATGTTTTATTAATATATGTAAATGCACGTGGTTGGGTGAAAACAGATGCATCCGCAGGCAACATGGCTGCAGTGGCTGCAGCCAGAGCCGTATATAGCTGCAGCGCTCGGTTTTTTTTTGTTTTTTTTTTTGTGATTTCGTTCCCCTAATGGCCGAATTATGTGCTTCGCTGCTTTCCCCACCTAGTCGCTTCAAAACGTCCTTCCGCAAAGGCACGTTTGGGCATCAGGCGCGAGAGGAGGTGATGAATGTCTACTTTCAAATTCGGCAGGAGACTCCGGCCGCGTCGTACCGCGAATGCGCTGTAAACAAGAAAAGCGTCCGGGCCATTACAATTCACTGATAGGCGGCGAAATCAAGCACCCCTTTACCTGCCGATCACATTGAACGCCAAGAAGCTGGTGGAAAGAACTGCGCCTCGAGTTTGTTATATCCAGACAATACAAGGAAACATCAACGGCCGGGCCATCAGGCACCTTGCAATGTGTACTTACATCTCTAAACTATGCCGAAATGCCGAACAGGTGGAAAGCTCGGACAGAGACGCCAGCGGCCAGCCTACGTACTGACATTCCTGTGACTAAATTTCAGAACGTGAAAGGGCGCTTTTTAAACCTGTAGCAGGCGATACCGTTGACACACCCGTAGCAGACGAAACCCTCGCTCGCTCGCTCCCTCCCTCCCTCCCTCCCTCCCTCACTCACCCACCCACCCACTCACTCACTCACTCACTCACTCACACTCACACTCACACTCACACTCACACTCACTCACTCACTCAGCCCGTCTTCTTCTTCTTCTTCTTCTTCTTCTTCTTCTTCTTCTTCTTCTTCTTCTTCTTCTTCTTCTTCTTCTTCTTCTTCTTCTTCTTCTTCTTCTTCTTCGGAGTGAAGGCCCGTTCACACTCTTGCAACCGAGTGCGACCGAGAGAGACCAAACCGGTTTTTAAGCCTCTTGCGATCTCTTAGGACCAGCTCTGCTCAGTGCATCCGGTCCCAAGAAGTCTTTCTCGGTCGTACTCGGTTGCAAGAGTGTGAACGCGCCTTGATACAAAAGTGCAGGTGAGATCGCGTGACCTATTGCCGGTGTGTGATTGGCTCCGGCCACACGTAGCTTTGCATACAAGTAGCTTACTTAGCCCACCGTGGATTCGATGGTGGGCTAGAAGGCAGCTCGATGAGGCCAGCCACACACACACACACTTCTTGCGGAGGCCTCCCCAGCACGGACCTGGCCAGTCACCATCGCTTTTCCCGGGCTCGATCCACTTTTTTTGCAGATTTTGAATATCGGGGCTCCGCAAGTTCAGAGCAGATTTTGTGTCCACAAAGGTTGCATTTCCTGCGAGACGAAAAGAACGGGGTTGAAAGCGCGATATATCAAACCAAGTGCAGGAAGGACTTGGAACCATTTGTCCTGCGGGGTCTTGTTTATATTGAGGGGCATAGAAATTTGGAAACTGATGTGCGCTTGGGTCGGTCTCCGGGTAATTCAACGAGAGTAGTCTCTAATGTATCGGGGCGCAGCCGGATTTGATGACATAAGCAATCTACTAAAACACGTTGAAGGGACTCGGGGCTTCTTCCACTCAAGAGTCCGCGCTGCGAGTAACGTAGAGGGAATTCTCCTGATCAATTTTTTCATATTTCCACATGTGAAGCGAGTAGATTCCAGGCACCCTCTTGGCGTCCTTCCACTTTTGTTTTTTTCGTTCTCTAAATGCCTCAAGCTTGCCATCCGTAAACTTGGTGTTTTGCAAGCCCCCCAACCCGTCGCATGCATTCTTGCCGTGCCCTGTTGCCGAAAAGATCCACTTCGTCGTCTGGAGCTCACTGCACTGCAACTAGTGAAGTTGATACCAGTTCTTAAAATGGGCGGCCGCTCCATCGCTAACATAAGTGAAGCGAGAGTAGATTGGTGCGTTGTCCTCAAGCTGTGCCTTAATTTTTGACAACGCCAAGCATCCGTGCGCCGAGTCATGAGTTTTTTTTTTTTTTTTTTTTTTTTTTTACTTCGTGATTTTTTTACCCACTTCTGTATGCAGGTACGAATACGGGAAGCATACAAAACTTACGGTCATTTTTTTGTGCTTTTGCATGTTATTTGGACTATTTTTTAGTTTAAAGGAAAATACTTTTGTATTTTTGTTTTTGAGGTACAAAATGCCAAACATCGCCTCTTTGACAATCCAGTGCCATCTTCAGAGCCTTGTAACTCATGAGTTATTATATTTGTCACTTATTAAATACTATGCTGGTGTAACCCTATACATGAGCTATCGACGGGCATAAGTTTAGTTTATTTTCACTGAATTTTTTATATGAAATTTGAAATATCGTCGAAAATGAACTT